GTGGTCCCGCGGGCGAAGTTGACGAAGGAGATCTCGTCGAAGCGGATGTGCACGGGCGGCTTGTGCACGTAGATGAAGCCACGCTCCAGCGGGTAGAGAAGCCCCGAGCTGGCCTTGTAGGAGCAGGTGATGCACTGGGCGCCGGAGTGTCTGCGAGAGCAAACGCGGCCGTCTTACAGCCGGCAGGGAGCGAACACCCTCCCCGCGCCCATCCCCACGGCGAGGCAGAGGGCCCCGGCAGCCCGGACGAGCCCGGCAGCTGCTCCCCCGGCAGGAGGCACGGATCTCAGAGCCCCTGCTCCCCGACCGCAGGAGCAAGAGAGGGGTCCTGCGGCCGGTCGGGGAGGGATCTCAAACAGCTGGGCCTCAGGCTACCAAACCAGCAGCTTCTCCTGTCCTAGGGAGGACGAGGCGCGCCCCGCGCCCCTCCCGATCTCCGCGCCCTTTCCTGCAGCAGGAAGACCCCACGTTCCGCCACCCGCACCCCCCTCGGCCGGCGGCAGCACGCCTCACCCCTGGAAGTTGCCAGGCACGGTGATCTTGCGATTCACCAGCGCCTTCATGACCCGGCTGACCATCTCGTAGAGGGAGCCCGACATGTTCTTGGTGAGCCGCCCCTCGAAGCGTTTCTCCACCTCCTCCCTGCGCAGCCAAGAGAGAGGGCAGCGGTGAGAATGGGAACCCCAGGAGGGTCGTTACCTCCCTCCCAGCTCCCCGCAGCCCCCAGATCCAGGGAGGGGGTCCAAGGAAGCGGCCTGGCAGGAGCGGAACTCACTCGTTCATGTTGAGGGTCAGGGAGATGTCCTCGTCCTTGGAGAAGAGCAGGATAAGGAAGTGGTAGCGGGTCTGGCCTTGCTTTATCGGGGGGTCCAGGCTGATCTGGAGAGAGAAGAGGAGGCGAGGACCTGAAACCCCCCCGAACCCATCGCTTGTCACCCTTCCCGGCGGGAGGGAAGACCCCTCACGTCCCCTCCTCACCACGAAGAACATCTGCCGCTGGTCCTTGTGCGGGAGCAGGAAGAGGCGCAGCACAGTCGTGTAGGGGATCTTGTAGTCGAAGGTCTTGCCGTGGAGGTGCAGGAAGGTGGGGTAGATACGGATGTCGTATCGCCCGCGAGGCGTCAGACACTGCAGTTCCCGGAAGATGCAGATGGCATCTCCGGTGGCCTGGATCACGTCCGCCTTGGAGAGGACGTTCTGAGCGAAGGCCTGCAAGGGAAGGGGGTTACGGCCGGGCGAGGGTACCCAGCTACCCCCTCTGCCTGACCCGCTGGCCCCCCGGCCCCCCGCTCACCTCCACGGGGTCCACGCCGTCCTCCTGGGTCGGGGGCACGTAGAAGCGAACCTCCATGAGCGAGACCTCGGCGTCGTCGTTCTGGTGGAACTCCAGCGTCACCTCGTTCTTGCCCGTCGTGCACTGGGAGACGTTGCTGAGGGGGATCTCGAACACCGGCTGCTCCCCGATGTCGAAGGAGAGCAGCTGCCCTACAGGGGCGGGAGGGGAGACGCAGCCCATCACAGCGGGACCAGAACTACCGCGCTACGGGGCAGGGACGAGAACCTAAGATCCACCCTGCGGGGCAGACCCACGGTGTCCTCCTAGATCCCACCTCCTGCAGCAGCCTCGGTCTTCTCCCAAAATCCAGCAATGCCTCCCCTCTCCCCCCCCCCCCCCCCCCCCCCGCATTCCCGTGCTCCCTCCCGAGTCTCCAGGCTTTCTCCTTCTGGCTATGGCCCCGAAGATCGACGCTGCTCGGAGCGAACCGTCTGTCCCCACGTTCCCCTGGCCTCAGACCAGGGAGGAGCGTCCACCGGCTCCCCTGGCTCCTTCAGGAACCGGCAGGCTCCGACAGATGCTCGCGGCTCCCACGCCGACCCGTCTCTTACGCTGAGCATTCCCCGCCTGCAAAACCTTCCCCCCCCGGGACTTGGGGCCCGCAGGTGTCTCCCGCTTTCATGGGGTACCTACCCTCCCCGCCGTCCCCGAGGACACCACCAGAAATCGGGCTGCTGCCCGGGGGAGCGGCCGGGTGCTGCAGGAACAGCCGTGCTGCCGGGAAACCGTCCCGGCTGCCAGAGCGGCCCCACCGCCCTCGGGCCGCAGCCGGCACGGAGGTGCCCTCTCCCCGGTAACGGCGTCACCGCGACTCACCTCCGAAC